ACAACAACAACAACAACAACAACAACAACAACAACAACAACAACAACAACAACAACAACAACAACAACAACAACAACAACAACAACAACAACTGCAAGGTATTGAGTCGGCTACCCCGTGGCTCAACACCCCGCCCCATCTAGTATCGTCCGTACATGTGCCGGCCCTATAAGAGGGGCGGCACCGAAGATCATGAATAAGTTCGCGCGGCAAGTATGATGCTGTGCCTACATTGTTGAGCAGGTAAGAGTTTGCTGTAGTGTGTGCCAAATCACATTTTGAGACATGGCCATGCGGTTGGTGTCGCTGTTATGTAGTGAGGTACCACGAAGAGAACGCCTGAAACACATCTGCACAAGCGAGAACGTGGAGGTATAATGTTGTTCTGTTGCTGCTCTTCCTCCTGGACAAATCTACAGCTGCGCGGCTTCTCACACACACACCGAACGGGGCGCCTAGACTATACATGCAACATGCACCCCAGACTCGACTGCACCTCGCGGTTTAGACGAAAAAAAACTTCCTATCCGCACGGCCTCGAGATGCCACCGAGGTATGGCAGCGGATACGCACGCGACAAACCTGTCGTCATGTCATGTGTATGTAGCTTGTGGAGCCAACAACGGTTTTCAACAAAAACGCCAAGCAGCGGGCTATTCGAAAAAGGCAGCCTACGATTGGCTTGCACCATGCCGAACCAATCCAATCAACCAATCTCGCCGCATCCGGAGGCGGGGAAATGAGAAATGATGCTGTGTGCCAAGGTGGCCCTGTGTAATCCTGTGGATGGCGCGCGTCTGCAGCTCGACCGATGCCTGCCGCGCAATAGGGACGTGATTTTTGTTGGATTGTTCGAAGAAGGCCTTCGCAAGATAACCTCAGCCACTTACATATATGTGCTATCTATCAAGATGCCGTAGCTGTGTTCAAGGCTGTAGGCATTCTGCCTGGGGGGGACACGGGATCTGTTTCGACGATTCCGCCCCCGCGACATGCTCTTGTGATGCTGGCTTCGCTTCACGTGATGCCTTCGGAGATGCCAGCTGCGTCCCAGAACGAGTGCTCCTCACCGGCTACATCGTGTTGGCCGCCGGGTCATTTGTTCTTGGGGTGTTTCTCGTCTGGCACACTGTCCAGTATCGCTACCTCCGTATCGCCACTCGGAGATCGACGAACCGCATGCGGGCGCTCTTGTCGTTCAGGTAGGTTCATCACGAACGTTACGAAAGAAGATGGACGCAGCACGTTGCCCACTGTAGTGGGTTGAGTGGAAAATCTCGTATCCCAACTAAATGAGGGCACTACAGTACAGTAGTACACCGCAGTACTATCCAATGTATTGTCCACTAGTCTATTCTAGTCTAGTCTATCGTACCGTACGATGGGGCACACACAGCAGTTCATGGTAGATAAAAGTGTTTTGTGTTTTCAACCGCACTAAGACTGACGTCTTTTCATTGGTCAGCCGATTAGCGCGGTCGATGCTAATAATACAAGCACAAACACAGCAGTCGGCCACGAAGAACATGCAGGCAACGTAGACTTTACTGCTCTTGACCTGACTGTAAAAAGGTCGTTTAGGCGAGAGCCCCTTCTTGTGTCGAGAATATTTAGACCAATGTATACAGCAGTACACACATCAATAACCTAATGCCTTTCCAAGAGCCCCCACGTAGTTCCTTCTGCTTGGCAATTTGGACGTTGCCCGCTTGCTAACGCGCCGCCACAAAGACTATTTTGGCGGAAGGTCCTTCCTCATTTTGTCATGCGTACCACAGAGAATACAAGTAATTGTAGGCTGCTTGACTGAGTACTTGTTGTGCATATTGTGACCAAGTTCTTAGATGTTGGATAATTTATAAGCTCAAGTTCTTAACAAATAGTCTATATGTCCCAATTGCTTGTTGGCGCTTTGTGTATTATATGTTCCTCGTACCGATTCGATTTTTTTCTCGGGACGCCATTACTGGGAAAGCAACAACAGTACATGACGTCTCTAGTGGCCTTGTGCCGGAGCTGTGCTATTTGTGGTTCACATGAAAAAGTTCGCGAGGCGACGAGGGTCTGGGATTGAGTTGGCGACCACGTTGCCGCCTTTTTTTTCCCTTTGGTTTATTGCGGCAACCATAATGAATGGTGGTTGGGTAGATTGTGTTGTGCGGGGTCGAGAACCCTCACTCCGCGCAAGGGGGATGATTGCCCCACGTTGTGTTAATTTGGTTGAGCACCCTCGAGGCAGTTACACAGTGCTTACAACTGTCTCTGGAAGTGAAAGCACCAGAAAGTAAATTAAGTCATACACAGCTGTCATTCGAACGCAAGGAAGTAAGCACAAGATGCCGAACACCCTTCGCAGGATGCAGCGCACCCTTCATGCGACTCGCCGAATACCTCACGGCGCTTCGCGCTTGGTGATGTGAGGACCTGGCCCGGTGAGAAGCCGATGTGTTCCGTCCTGGCTGTACAGGGGTGCGAGGTCAATGGTCTAACGAATACGGCATGCACGACTATGAGTACACTCCCCCCCCCCCCCGGTGTTTGCCATCGGGTTTGGGT